TTCTATAAATTAATTCTTTTCTTTTTTTTTTTATATGTCTACAAATATACACGTATATATGATAGTAATGTATCATATATATATATATATATATTATATATATATATATATATATTATATATATATATATATTATAAGCTCTTCGAGAATTCTTGTTGTCAAAGGTTAAAAAACCAATTAAAAAATGATAAAATAATAAATCAACAATGTAATAAATGAATAACAGGCGCAATATAAAAAGTTTTACCGGGAATATACTTTTAATGCCGATTTCACATCGCAAAAAGTGCTAAAAAACATGTGTATATAATAATTATACTTGATTATTGTCACTGAGCGTTGCAACGAGCAGAATCGCTTATTATTTAGCGCATCAACAGTACATAAAATATTAGTCGCATGTGTATTATCCATGAAAGGCGCATGAGTGGGCTTCGCTCATGATTAACTTTTTTTATTCAGAATTTCTCTTTTTTCTTTGTCAGACAAGAGGAAGCAACTACGAACAGAGATACATTATTTGTTCTTGTCCTTGTAAGGGTAGCCCTTTTAATGCATAATTTACTTCAATTTACGTAAGTAACCCTTGTCGTGGCGTCATTAACAATGGAACTTGCAAATTCGATTGCTTTCTTTTCTTTTATCAATAAAAAAAAGTATTTTTAATATTTTAAAAAATGTTCGTGATCATTATATCATAATTCTTTACAATTTTGATTTATGCAATTGTATCTTGCAATAAGAAAAACTCAATAGTACGGTCGTAGATATTAAAAATATTTACAAGTAACAAGAAACATAAAAAAAAAAAGAAAAGAAAGAAAGAAAGAAAGAAACAAACAAACAACAAAAAGATAACGAAAATCCATTGTTCGACGAGCCATCGACCGTGTCGAAGCACGATAAAACGATAATAAAAGATGCGTCGCGACGCTTTCCCCGTACTCGAGACATCGTGTAGCCCTTCGAGCGATTTATATCAACTGGCATACAACCGAGCGCCGAAAAAACGAAACGCTACAGAGAGAAGAGAGAGATTAAAACGTTATGTATGAAAAAAAAAAAAGAAGCACTTGATCTCTACCTTACGATAAAAACAACTAGAATCACTTGTGTGTGTACCATCACCACTTGTGGGATACGCTACAGTAATTAACGTTTCTTAGAGAACTAGGACCTAGTCCGTGCGCAGAAAAGCGTCGTTCTCCCAAAATATCCTTCGTTCTTTCTTAATTTATCCTTTTTCCTTCTTCATTCTTCTTTTTCTTAACAAATTGCCGATCACGGATAATTCCTTCCTTCCCCCGTTCCTCTCTTAATTCTCTGACATTAAAATTAGAAAAATGCTACAACCGATATTCACTGGACAACGTTTCAAACTCGTGACATGTTTCAAGTGACCATGTCGAGGTACAATAATGCTAGTTATTGTACTTGATCAGACGTATTGTACTTGATGTCGTTGAGAAAAATCTTAAAATCTTTTTAGGGCCGTTCAAAAACGTCAGATTAAACGTCAGAGAAAAACATTGGATCAAGAATTTATCCGCAATCGGATCCTGAGGGCCGCATTGTACAAGAATCAAACAGAAGCTCGAGAGTCAGCGCGTGATTTAAATAGCCGCGATTTTAAGGACCGCTTGCGGCCATTCTTTTTTTTTTTTTTTTTTTTTTTGCCAACTATCGATCATTCATACGCGCGCCTGTCTGTGCTTACGTGTTCGTACATCTCTTTCACTTATGTATTATCCTAATTAGCTCCAGCTCAGTTTATGAGGCAGTTATCGCGTAGATGCCAGATATTTTTGGTACAGTTGAGACACTTTTGCGGATAGATATCCTATATATATATATATCGCTTTTCCTTTAATTTCACCGGAAAATATTCAAGGGGAAACTTGTTGAACCTCGGTCGCTTCTTTGTTAAGAAAAAAAAATCTCTTAGAACTAAGTTCAGGTGGGTTCTTTGATGAATAATATAAATAATATGACGCGTTTTTTTTTTAATAAAAAATATAACGATTAATAGGTAAGAAAGAAATATTACATTATTCATATCAATCGTTACATTCAAAACATTGATAATTCAAATGTTTTGTCTGATTAACAAATTAATCTAATTTCTTTCGACGAATTACAAATTAACAATTTGCCATCCCTTCGGGAGGCATCAGAGAGTCATTGTTTAAATCCCCTTTACGATACGTTCGATCGAAAGCCGTTCACTCGACTGATTAACATGCTTCGCGTAAAAGGAAAAGTTTCGAAGTGTCTCTTCGTGATGAATATACCTGTACACACGTTGTTTATACATTATTCATCTGGCACGCACACTAAACTAATTCACGGTCTGCTGCTCCGCGTGTATACGTGTATGCGTATGTCTTCCTTTTTTTTTTTTTTTTATGTATATAGATATATACGTAACGCGTCTCTTGTATATATGTGTATACATATAATGCTTGATAATGCGTTGCAGCGAAGTTAATATACCCGACTATACACCTCTTGGTATGTAATAATACGCGTATATAAATATACATACACGTGTGCATGCGGTCGCGCGTGGTACACGCGCGCACAGAGTCACACTTTTACAGACACAGACATACACACGGCCGTGTATGTATGCGCGCGCGCGCGCATGTATACATATATATATATAATCTAACTATACATATAACTATGTACATTTTTTTCTTTTTTTTTGAGGGATAGGGCGAATTTCGAAGGGAGAAAGGAGCACGGGGGGAGGAGGGGGGGAAGAAAAGGATCGAGAAGAGGGGGAACGGGTTAAAAGAAATATACGTGTGTCTGTGTATGAATGAGCGTGTACGAAGGGAGAAGAAAAGAAGAGGAAAAGATGTGGCGTGAATAGCAGCAGAAGGAATATCGTCGAAGGAATATCTTCGTCTAGGGAAAAAGGGGGGGAGGGGGGTGGGATGGGGGTGGGTGGGTAGGTTTGTTCGAATTCGTCGAGGATGGTCTTGCGATGGTCGGCGGGCGCGCTCCTTTCTTTTCTTCTTCTTCCTCTTCTTCTTCTTCTTCTTCTTTTTTTTCGTTTTTTTTCTTTTTTTTTTTTCTTTTTAACTCTTCTTTCATCCGAACTGGCGAAAAACCTAAGTGCTGCGACTATAGTGTGTGGGAGGAGCTGGCACAACAAACGCTCGTGTTTGCATCTTTTTTAATACCACGACGAGCTGTTGCCTGCCCGGCGCACTGTTAGACGTCCGTGTATTTGCTCAGCTTGTCACGCAGCAACATGTTCTCGTTCTTTAACCGGTCCAGTTCCTGCCGTAGACCCATATTCTGAAAGGAGAGAAAATTTTTCGGAATTCGGAATAAGTATCGTAAAATTATCAGAATCTTTTCGAGGAGAGGTGATAGAGGTGATCATTGTATCGTTCCATTTGCGCACGTTTGACATATATAAAAAAAAAAAAAAAAAAGAAAAAGAAGAAGAAAAAATGAATCTAATCTTAATCTTCCCTCGATAGGAATGGAAACATTAGATCCTTATTCTTCAAATATGTGTTCTTTAATTTTAGAAGCGTGGGAAGATTTACTTCTTTCTCGAGGAAGCCGGCCCTGAGAGCGATCTGGTTCTCCTTCATGCGACGTGCATCCCGTGATCGTTTCGCTGCCATGTTATTCTTCCTACGACGCGCCCAGTATTTGTCATCCTTCAGGTCATCCGGAACGAACTGTAGCCGGTAGCGGACCATGGAAAAGAGCAGGAAATTAGAACGAACGTAGAAATTGCTGTAATTTCTAAATCACGATGAAAAAAAAAAAAAGAAAAAGGTTATTGTATCTATAAGTAGGATCTTTTGGTTGGAAACGAATCTTTTGTTATAAATATAAATAAATTTTTCTTTTTTAGATATATTGAACAGGAAAATGAACTGACCTGCTTCCGTGATTTCTTGATCATCGGTTGGGGTTTCAGCTCCTCGTCGGAGAAGGCCCGGGTGCGTGGATCGAAGTCTCGCCCCGATGAGGCCATCGAGAGCGCTACAAGAGAGAAGCCATATTGTAGTATTCGTGACGAGTCCTCGGAATCTGTCACGCGAAGAGGGAATAATTGACAATCTCGATATTAATTTCATCCGTTTCCCAAATCTAGCTATATCATTGTTATACCGGAGTCGATCCTGAGACTTTTTTATGCCTATACTTTTTTTTCAACTCTTCTTAAACTTCTTAAACTCTTGAAATGCAAATTCGAATTTCGGAATTTATATTCCCAAACAAGTTTACTTTTCTTTACTTTTAATTTAACGTTGAATTTCTATCGTATATTGAATAACCCTTCATTTTCACTTCACACCACCTTCAACCCAATCCCTCTCTAATCCTTGCACGATCAAAAAACGAAAGGTGGCCGTTAAAAATGTTCAACTCTCTCAGGATCGACGTCCAAACAATCAGGTAGGAAATCGGATGAACGATTCACTCACTGGAATCCGCGGGCGAGGGAGGGTTCATAGTGTCGGGTGAGCAACACTCGCTCGGCGAGGGTGATCTCTCGCGTTTGGTGACCGGCTCTAAGTGGAGGCCGGCTGGACCTTGGTGTCCTGGCGTTTCGGTGTTGTTCATCTTGTGCAGTTGTCCGCTCTGCATCGTCCCTTGTCCGCCGCCGGCCACTCCATCCACGGGAATGCCGTTCTCGGAGAGGAACTCGTCGAGATCGACGTACTGTAACAGGAGGATAACAACATCCCTTTTTTTTTTTCTTTTCTTTCGTCTTCAGTTTTCAGCAGAAAAAAAAGATCGGTTGTAACAGAGGCGAGTGTTGTGGTGTTATCATTCATTTTAAACCGATACTATGAACATCGTATATATATATACATATATTAGCTAATTGGCAATAAAACGAGAAGTAAAATTTTTTTTTTCTAAAAACGCGAATGGGGAAGAACAAAATAAGCGAATTGTAATGGACAATTAATTTTCAATTCATAATTTTGGATGCAAGAAGGGTTTCACTCACAGTCCCAGTTTGTTTCTTATTTTTTTTAGAGTGATAAGTGTAATTCAATTTTATAAGATATAATGAAATTTACATGAATATTTGTGTTCTTCTTGCATCCGATAGTACGATTAATGAAAGAGAAAAAAAAAAAAAAAGAAAAGAAGAAGAAAAAAGAAAAGGGGATGAAAAAATTTAGAATTTTTGAAAACTCTTCAACCGCAGATACTTGGGATCTGCGGCGTTTCAGCCGGATTGTGAGCTTACCGTATCGCGTTTTTGTACATACATGGTTCAATACCTTCAGGTCGGCATCATAGGGCAAAGTTTTATCCCATAGATTTGGGCCGAGGAAGGCGGCCTGCGCTTCCACGTTGCCCCATAACTCTCCATCAGCGTCCTTTTTCTCTTCCGGTCCATCTTTGCCTTGTTTTCCTGCGAACGTAACAATTTTCGTTATTTCGTTATTTATTGTATTGTATAAATTATTTTTTTATAAATATATATATATATATATTTAGCATTCAAATCTCGTACAATTTGTAACTTCTTGTGCGTGTGACAATTTTCATCTCGAAAGATAGAGAGGATGGATTAAAAATTCAGATTTAGAAACTCTTTATAAAAATATTTACAATGAAAACTAAATTTTCTTTTTTTCTTTTTTTTAATTATTCAAGCGATGAATAACTGAATAGAGACAAATATGAATTTTACAACAATTCGACAAGATATGTTTTCATGCTTGTACAAAAATGTACAACAAACTTGTGCAATAATAATTCAATAGTAATTAAATAAGTAAGAAAAAAAAAAAAAGGCAATAAAATAGAAGTGATTAACGATCACGTGGCGCTAGTGTCGCGTCATCGACACATCATAATATAATAATACACATTTATATGTTATTATTATTCCAAATCACGACGTAAAAATAATTTATTATCTTGCTCGAGAAACTTACACGATACGATTCGATGCAAAGATTTATGAAAAAGGAAAAAAGGGATTCAACGATTCCGACGAGAAGACAAAAATTCACAACTACATTTCCACGAAATGCGTTTACTACTTATTGCTCTGCCAATGTACAAAGTCTATGTTTCGACTTAAAAAAAAAAAAAAATTTTTTTTTCTCTTCATTCAATAGGCTTTTTACCTTCGTTTTTTTTCTTTCTTTTTATATATATATATATATATATGATAGAAGAGAGACCTTTTAGAATACGCGAGATGACACGCTTCCCCCCGTCCCTCCTTTACACCTTTTTTCCGCACACACAGTGTCGGAAGCCGTGGCCATCAAAAATTACTTCGTGGAAGAAAAGAAAAAGAGGAGCGGATCAGTTGGCGACCTTGGAGATGCTCCTCCAAAAATAGCGAGCCGACCTAACAACTTCTCTCTGTTTCTTCTTCTTCTTCTTCTTCTTTTTCTTCTTCTTTTCGTTTCGAGGCGTTTCTTCCGCGTTTTTTACTCCTTCCCCAAAGACCGGCAGACTCTTAATTGTTGCTCGTGTCATGCCACGTCTTCGTTTCATTTCGTTATGCGAAACGTAAAAAAAAAAAAAAAAAAATAAAAAAAAAAAAAATAATTTGCGGATTTATCACGAAATAAAATAAAAAAATAATAAGTCTATTAATTCACCGTTGTCTATTATCGAATGTTATATATCGAATACTGCGAATGTTTATACAAATTTAAATTTTTACGAAGAAAATTTTTATGAATGAGAAAAAAGTGAGGTTAGGATTTCGTAACCTCGAAAAGATTAAGAAAAAAAAAAAAAAAAATTAACACCTTCCGCCTCGCGCAAATAAAATTAACGTGCAGAACGATTTTTATTATTTTTCTTCTCTCTCTCTCTCTCTTTTCTTTCTTTTCTTTTTTTTTTTTCCAATGACTGAACGTGCGGTTCAAACGCGACGAAACCGCATTCAATGGTTATTATCATGGTACACCGCCTGTTGGCGAGGTCGTATCTCTACCACAATCTGATAGATTTCAACGAACGAAGATTTTTAATATTCATACTACGTTTCCTCCCGGATTACGACTGATCTTTGAATTATTGCTTGTGATTATCCCCGGTTACGATTCCAACAACCCGGCGGATTACCTGGCGTTTATCTCTAAAGAGTAATCAAGTAAATTCAACGAATTTATAGAAGATGTTCAGATAGAAAGGGAAAGGAAAGAATTTGCCACGTCAGAGTTGTTGCAACTAACAATAACGCTCTTTAATCCTTGATCCTTTATAATCCTGCCTAATAAAACTCACTTAAAAAGGTAATAATCTTTAAAGATAAATTATTAGAAACGAGCAAATGAAAAAAAGATGCACGACTCGAGGATTTTTTTCTCAAATCTAAATTCGATCGAATTTTAACTATTTTATTTTGGATCGTTAAAAGTCAACGGTTGTATTTTTCATTATATACATAGAGAAAGAAAACCACTGTATTGTAACTTCTATTGTATCATTTGCTTCTTCGAGTAAGGAAGCATAAATATAAAAATCGTATTCCAAGGTGATATAATCATCGTAAGTCGAATGATCAATGTAAATTTTGAATGAAAGAAAAAAAAAAAAAAAGAAAAAAAATAATTCCACTGAAAATACGGTTGAAAACGGTTTGGAAACGCCTAATAACCATACGGAGCGCGGTTTCTCCGTGCACGCTAGCTAAACAACTAAACAACGACAGCTTGCAATTTGGTTCAAGGCTGTCGATCGTCGCCAACTCTGCGGAACTAATCTCGCGTTGCGTGGCGTGGCGTGGCTAGAACACGAGCAAACAGCCGATTAAACGAGAAGAAGAAAAAATCGTGTCGTACGAAGGTGAAGAGGAGCAACCGAAGTGGAAGAAGTGGCAGAGAGAGAGAGAGAGAGTAAAGAGGAAAATTGTGCGTTTCGAGAAAATTTGAGGATCGAGAATGAATGAAAACGGATGATAATGAAGATTATTGGAACGAAATTTTAATCGATGATCTAAAGATTTAAAGATTCGAAGGTTCAAGAATAAAAGATTCAAGGATCTCAAGATTCAAAAATCCAAGGACTCAACGAAATCCAGAGATCTAAGGATCTACAGATCAAAAGTTCAATTCAATTCAAAGATCTAATAATCTAACTCTTAATGCCTTAATGTTGGATTTGAAATTTTATTCTAAAAGTTTATTGATTTTTTTCTAATATCTGTGAAAAGTCGAATTAATAAAAGACATTCTCCAGAATTCAGAATCAAACATAAACAGATTAGAAAAATTAGAAAGATTTTGAGTGACTAAATGACTTCTTTATAAAATTCATGATTTTTCAAAAATCATGATCACGAAAATTAAAATTATTCACGAAAACTTTTAAACGTTTCGTGAAATCTTAATCGCAAACACAATATCCCTTATCATCATGTATCTTTTAACATGACAACATGATAACAAATATACGCGTTAACCAATTTAAATTACAATCGGCCAATTTTTATCGATAACCTTTAAATTTCTAAATTCGCGTGATCCAAAAAAAAAAAAAAAAAGAAAGAACTCAAACTCCTTGCAAAAGAATGGAGCGGTTGTCGAACAGAATTGACCGAGTTTCCTGTTCGGGGCGGCCGCGTAACGAAAGCGGAAGTACCGTAAAGGGCAATTGTCGCGGAGGAGGCCGAGAAAGAAGGCTGGATCAGAATCTGGCCGGAGAGAGACGATTTCCGTTAACGGTAGAACCAGTTCTCCGCTCTGCTCCTTCGTTATACCGAGAGCGTGCCTCTAATTACTATGTTCCCCTGTCTTTATCTCCTCTCCTCTCTTCTCGCGGTTCTCCGTCATCCCGATTCCCCTGCAAGATATTCCTTTACGTAATCGACAACACGCGAGCGTTTTACCTGACTCAAGTATGGAATGACTCATGTGCACGTCCTGGGAGGGGAAAAGAAGAAGAAAAAAAAAGGAAAGATCGAAACGATTCGTCGTTGTCGTGTTTCTTCGCGACAATAAAAGGATCGGTATCGAAAACGTGACGTAGTGTTTGGATGTAGAAACTTTTTAATTTTACGTGCTCCTCGCTCGACTCGTTTAGATTCGTGATGATCTCGCGAACGAAGATCAAAAACTTGAAATAAAATTGGGTTATTTAGAGTCGAGTCGTTTCTCTAAACGCACGATCGAACAGCAACGTATCTTGAAACATTTTGATCGATGGATAAAGCAAGTGGAAAATTAAATAAAAGTAGACTTGATAATGATCTTTTTCAAAATTTAACAATTTTGCCGTTTACAAAATTTGCGACAAATGTACGAGTTTCTTAATTTCAAATATCTCTCCTCCTCTCCTCCTTTCATAGATTGGTTTCTTCTTCTTTTTTTTTTTTTTTTTTTTAAATTGGAAAGGAAAAATTTGCCTCAACCTCCGATACTTTGTTGTACCTTAGTTTAAAACACGCAATAACGGTCTGAAGAGATTTGCGTGAAATCGCGAGCACCGTTTCTAATTGTAATTGCGGCGGCACGCGGTGAAATTAATTTGACAGGTAATAATTCACGAAACCGAATAAAATATCCATTAAGTCTCACGCAGTTGCGTTCGGGTACGCGCGAGCGATTGTCCATCCACGGAAAAGGAGGCGAGATTCGAGATAAAACCCGGTGAAAGGGAATTGAAAATAGTTTTATTAACGAGCAACGATGATTTCCGCTTTTTTTGAAGCCTTATCTTCGTTACATATCAATTATACTCCACGGTTTCTTGTTATAACTTAATTGGATTCACGGCGTAAGGAGGCGTTACACTTTCATAATCTTGATATCGTTGATTCAATTTGCCCTGCCATTTGGGGGATTGATAACTTTGCAATTTTTGAATAATAGAATTTGTTGAAGGGAAATTGGGAATTCGGCATCGATGAATTAAAATAATAATTAGCAAATAATTTTCAACGAAAAGAGAAGAAAAAAAAAATGGATGGAAATCAAAGAAGAAAAGATGGAAATATCGAGCGAGAGTGCAAGGGGAAACGGACGGTATGTTATCAGACACCGTTCTCTTTCAACGATCCTTTCAACGACAGTTTTTAATTGGACGATAATTTAATGTAAATAGAATTAATCGATAACAATTTCGTTTCAAAAACTGAGAAAGTCCTTTTCTTTTTTTGAAAGAAAAAAAAAAAATTCCAAACTACGTATTTATACGTACATTTAAAAAGGATTATTTTAAAAGATATCGAGGAACAATAATTTATCTGGCAAAAAGGAGAAGGAGAGAGATGTTTAAAACGATACGAAGTAATGATAATTGACAACAACGAAGGCGTGCCACTATTGGCAAACGGATAAACAATCGCATTTGTTTGGAGATAGTTTCCTGTGGCCTTGGTACATTGATACTCGGCTATTTCGGACGATAGATCGAATACGAAGTGAAACTGAAATCCGTGAT